GATTTATCCTATTTTAAATACTTCTTTTTCGAGTTTGATTCATGGAGATGATCCTAATCCATGTCATATGACTAACTTGGATGTTCAATATTAAATCATAATAAATCAAAATCTGACTATTATGCAAGAGCTTAGGTGGCGGATGAGAGGAGTTGACTTCTACTGACATGATCCTAATTTTGATGGTGGTGGTGCTCCGGTATTGTGATTCCTTACTCATTTTGGATGATATTTCTTTCAATTTTTTGTATATTGTTGATTTTTGGACTTATTCATATTTTGGGAAGATATTTTTATCTAGTTTTGTTATGTCGTAGATATTTTGATACATTTAGGTGATGATTCGACATTCGATCAATGTTAATGTATGTATTTTGTTATTGTTACAACTTTGCTTATTGTCTAGGCTTTATAAATTTTGGGAATGGTATGTATTTCAATGTTAAAATTGGATTGCTTAATATTTAGGTTTTAAAAAGAAAAAAATTAGCAAGATGGTGGTAATAATTTTTGCTACGGAAAATTGCTAAAAATACCACTCTAGCATTTTTCCACAGAATGCCGTAGCAAATATTTGTCACAAAAAAAAGTTTATTATGGATTTCTTCACAATTTTATGTCGCAAATTTTTGCTACGAAATATCGTAGCAAATAGTTGTAATAGATAAAATTGTGATGCAATGTTGCATCATAATTGAAATCGTGACTAAAATTTTGCTATAAAATAAAGTGTGTCACAATTTTCATAGTTGATCTGTGTTTGCTATGCCTATAATAATTTTTTCTACATAAATAATCCATAGCATAAATTGATTATTTTGCTATGCCTATAATAATTTTTTCTACATAAATAATCCATAGCATAAATTGATTATTATTATTATTATTATTATTATTATTATTATTATTATTATTATTATTATTGTAGTGATGGTTGTAGAATCGATTAATGTTCTACAAATAACTTTACCCGTAATAAACAATGAAATCTACCGGTGGAAGCACCAAACTGCTATTGATGTTTTTTTTGTCCAAATTTTCTTATGAAAGAAATTGGAGAAAGAAAATGAAGAATGAGTAAGACTGGTCCCGGGATAGAGTAAAAAAATAAGTTACAAAAACCACGAAGATGAGAATGTCGCGAAGAAAAATGGGTTTGGAATTTCTATTGTTTTTTTATTAATATAAAAATTAAAAAATAAATATTTAAAATTGTTTGTTAGAAAATGAGCAGATACAAAAAATCTAAATCACTATAAGAAAAAAATATTTTTGCAATAAATATTTCATACCTATGGTCCATTATCACTCTTACCCTTTAATTGTCACCCTGACAAGGTATATCTTACATGTGTCATTTTTTTGTGATTTTCATCATCCGAACATGTGTTTGGTAAAGTGAATAATCTCCTCCTTTGAGAATAATCAAAAAATGGAAAGTGTTCAATTGGAATATGAAAACGTGAGTAAAATTGGTCCTAGTTACGTAGCGCTATCCCACTCGCACCGACATCGTTATGAACTTGATGTGTGACTAGATGCCCAAAAATTGCGAAAAAGTGATACATATATGATATATTTTGTCATGATCACAATTAAAATATATCCCACATGTGTCACTTTTGTGCGATTTTTGTCCTCTATAGCCCAATCCCACTCCACGCAGTGAGATTGTATCCGTCGTGAACTTAACGTGCAGCCATATGATAAAAATCGTGAAAAAATGATACATTTGGGATATATTTTGCCAGAGTAACACTTAAAGGACAATAGTGATAATTGACCATAGGTAAGAGATATTTATTACAATTTTCTCCACCCCTTAGCATCCACTAAACCTCCACAAGGTATTCTGGTGCTTTTTGTATTTCTGAGAAAAAAATCTAGCGGAGGCTCCTATGTAAAAAACTATCACCATAGATATACTAGTTGTTGGCTGGGTATTCACTTGGCATGGTTAGTTTACTTACTTTCTTTGCTTTTGGTTATGTTTTGCTTTTGCTATTTCCTCTTCTTCTTACCTCACAAACTTATTTTTTCATAAGCTGCCCTAACATATCATGCTTTGTCAACAGACCAGTCCACGATCAATTAAATAATTATTTTTGGGTAAACTGTTTTTTCAGTCCCGTAATTGAACCTCCTTATCATTTTAGTCCCGTAGTGGAGCTTGTCGCAAACTAGTCCCATAAATGAAAAATTTTCGCTGTTTTAGTCCTCCGCCGCCGGAGATGCCCGCGTGGCTCGCCGGAGGTGACTTGTCCGCCAGGTGTCGCTGACCTGGCGGACACGTGGATTTTTTTAATTTTTTTTTTCATTTTTATAAAACTTATTTTTAATTTTTTTGTATTTTTTTAATTTTTTTAATTGGTCCAATTAAAAAAAATTAAAAAATTAAAAATAAACAAAAAAATAAATAAATAAATTCACATGTCCGCCAGGTGTCGCTGACCTGGCGGGACACCTGGCGGACACGTCACCTCCGGCGAGCCACGCGGGCGTCTCCGGCGCCGAAGGACTAAAACAAAAAAAAAAATTTCACTTGTGGGACTAGTTTGCGACATGCTCCACTTACAGGACTAAAATGATAAAGGGGTTCAGTTAGGAGACTAAAAAAATAGTTTACCCATTATTTTTTGTTTGCAATCACAAAATTGATGTAATGCAATAAAAGTGATTATCTCCACAAGGATTTGTATGATAATAATTCATTCGTGTTGAGTGAACCAAAAGTAAGAAAAGGGATTTTGAATTAAAATTAGCCTAATCCTAGAAAATAACTAAAATTAAAAAAACTAGAATGCAAAAGAATTATTTTGGAATGAGATTTGAATTAGATCATTGATTTAACTAAAAATAATTTTTATAATGATTAATAAACTAAATTATTGACATCAACAAACTATAACATCCAATCCAGCTACGCCCATTAATTGCCCCTAATTAGGCTAACAATCTTAGGTATGATTGTAGAAATTTAATTGTCTAATTGCATTATGATCTAAAAAAAACCTAATTCAAATTACTACTATCTACAATAAGTAGTTAAAATTCGATTCCATAGATCCACAAGATGTAACAATCCAACCCATGTGTCCTATTCAAATAAAAATATAATTATGGATATCATATTCAAATTGACATTAAACTATTGGATTTAATAAAATATTGGATGTAAAATACCTATTTAATTCAACAATTATAAATGCTAAATTTAAAAAATACAAATACTAATAATCGATAAGAAATCAATAAATATCTAAAAAATGAATAAAACAAATGAAATAGACATAAAAAGCATAAAAGAAGTTTTTGTTATCTTTCATTATCTGTCGAATGACTCTTGTAGTTGTCGAATGACTCTTGCAGCTATCGAACGGCTCCTAAATTGCACACTTCTGCTCTGTGTTTGCTCTATTTTCACACCTTGGCTGCCCCGCCAACTCCCAATTTTGTGATAAAGTCATTTTTTAAATCTTGAATCTTAGACTTTAAAATAATAATTGGGCTTAAGAATTTTCTCCAATTATTTTTATTTCCATCAATTAATTCAATTAACCCTAAACTTGCAAAATATCTAAATATGAACAAATTCGGTGTAATCCATACTAAATCAACTCAAATAGTCCCAAAATATGAACAATTAAAGTTCATAGCATAGGAGCTATCAATTCTCCCATGCTTAAATCGTGCATGTCCTCAACAGTTGATATGAAATAAACCAAAATAAGTCATAAGGTACTCAAAATCGACAGGTAAATTAAACACAACCAAATCAGTCTGAAATCAAACACATTAAGTCAAACCAACATCATAAGGTTACGTGTATTTTCACCATCTCTCTCTATAAAGTTTATAGTTGGGTAAGAGCTCAAGTGATGTAACAAAATAACAGTTCTATATGCTTGCGTAAAAATCACATATTGATAATGCCATTTTGTACCTTATTTTTTTTGTATGTATTTATGTAAATATTTGTTAATTTTTCTAGTATTTTAACAGCTATTTAAGTCAACTGGTTTGTTTGTTAGAGGGTTTGAATTTCGAGTGTAATTTGAATAGTAAAAATTTTGAATGGTTACGGTGGTATGATGTGATATAAATAGTTGTTTGATGTGATTTTTGAATGCAAAATTATATTTTATTATAATATAAAAAATAAAAATAGGTATTTAATTTGATATTTTTTTTAGGGAAAAGTTTGGTCAATAATAAAAATCTGGGAAAATCTCTTAAACAAACACACCCTCTATATGATTTTAGCTTTATTTGTATTTTTGGACTATAATATTAATTTATATGAGTTTTGAAATATTTATAGTGTATCTATAATATAATCCAAAATTAATGTATTTTCCGAGTTATAAATTTTATTAGATTTAGTCCATTTTAATTGTAGCTAATGTAATAATTAAATTTAGTCATAAGTTTTTATTGACAATATATAATATATTTGGTTAAATAATGCTATTAGTTTTTATTTCTTTCTTTCTTTTATTGCCTTTTCTACGCTATTTATGTCATCTTTTTTATTTAAAAGCTAGCTAACTGCCATTTTAAACAAATGTTAAACTTTTTTCTTTTTAGGTTTGACTCTAAAATGCTTGCCGATCGCTAAGAAATCATGCAAAATGCAAAAAATCGGTCTGAAATGAAAAGTTAAAATAAAAGTCAATAGTCAATGCGAAGTCACCTACAATTTGTGAGTAATGTCAAATGGCGACCATTGCTAAAGCGCGAGCTCTGTTGCTAAACAGCGACAAATTGATTTTTTTTTTTTTTTTCTTTTCTCAGCCCCTCAAATTTTTCTTCTGGTCGCCATCCTCTCTTCCGTACACATCTCCGTCATCCCCGCATCTCCCTTGGCATCGCATGTATCTTCAGATTTTACTCAAACGTATCTACCATGGTGGATTTGTCCTTTCCCGCGCGCAGCCTTCTCCTACGATCACATCTCCATCCCCCCTTCTTTCCTCCCTCGCATCCATCCTCTCTCAGGTCTACGCATCTCCAATCACCTCTCCGGCTCTCCCTATATCAACGCAAGCTTTCATTTCCTTCGCCTCGGATCCTTTCCCATCGTGCTTTTCTCCCCAATTCCCAAGTCCAATCGCATCTTCAAAATTCGTCTATAGTAGAGTGTCTAGAGGTAATGTGGATACAAAAGATTTAGTAGACAAGAGACCGACGATATGCATCGTATAGTTGCAACAACAAGAATCAAAATATGAATTGAGAGCTACTTGCAATAGCCAACACGACAGGAGTTGATTTGGAAACTATAAAGAGATTCTTGATATCCTTAATCATCGGAATGTTGAGTGATAGCGGTGCGAGTTAAACTTTAATCTAAAATATTAACAAATATATCAACAATTATTTCATAAAAGTGCAATTCATAAAATATAAAGTTGACAATGTTGGCCCAAAGCATAAATGAAACCAAAGAGAGTTATCAAAGGAAATGCGTATGTAGGTAGGTGGGTATCTACTCTGTATAAATTATAAATTTTTTTTAATCGGCAACCACCACTCGTCGAGTGTATTCTGGGAAATCTGCGGGCATTGCCGGTTTTAATATATGACCTCAACGAGTTCACTTTGACACCACCACACCATATGTGTATATGTTTTTTTATTTCTTATGTACAGCAAGGTCCCGGAGCTCGTTCATGACACGGTCAAACACCGGCATATACTCCTCTTTAAGAGTGACTAGAGGCTCTACTCCATGCCCGAGTCTCGTGTCCATTAGCCACACTGAATGTGCCATCCAAAGCGACTTCGACTTCAAATCACTGCTCGTATCGCAACACGGTGCAATCCAAACTGGATTTCCCCTTCCAAAATCGATGCCGTAAGTCCCAAAACCGCACAAGCTCGAGATAACAACAACATCCGACCCTTTAGGGGTTAATGATCTGTTGCGGTAAAAACTTTCAAGGCCGCCATCCCCATGGCCTTGCAGACTGGTAACACTAGTTTCGTCGATCCTGCTTATTGCATCCCTCAATTTTCTCGTCAGATCTGTCCGATCATGGTTTCCACTTGCTGCTACCGTCGATGAGAGGAAATTACCGAAGCAGTCGGACAGAAAAGGCGGCCGGGCTTTCCTTCTCAGATCGACTGCCAGCAGCACGAAGGATTCTGATTTGCCATTTTCGAGGGATGCTGCCATGAAGCATTTCCAGAGGATTGTCGAGACAACCTCCACCTTTGTAGCATTTTTTACACTGCAAGAAGATTCGCTCTGAAGGACTGAAATTGTAGAGGCGTCGAAAACATAACGCTTCAATGCCCATTTGGCCGACACCTGAAGCCTTGTCGGGAAATGAGAATGGTCGGTCAATTCGGGTCTGTGGGGAAGAGATACTGGGAGATGTAGTTAGGGCAGACACCATGTTTAGATCCTCGATTGGCATTTCCCCAAGAAATCAAAAAACTTGTGATAGTTGTAGCGTCAGCAAGCTTATGCCAGAAAACAACTCCCATGGCGATGCCGCCGCAATCGAAATAGTTGACTTGGATCATCAGGACCCTTGACTCCGGGTCAATCTCCTGCCAAATGAAGTCAACCCCTGGTACGAGGAGGCTTGGCAAATCCGTGCGATCTGGATTTTCTAGAAGATCGGACAGATTGTGGCCTGGGAACTTGGCGACTGTGAAATGAACTCCCTGGTAGCTGCAGTCGATGGAGTGGCCGTTGTCGTCGACGTTGACTCTCCCGGCGAAAGGGTAGAATCGGGTAAGAAGAACTGGAAGGGATTTCTTCAGGTGCTGTGTAGTTTGAGAAATGAAAGAGTCTACGTCGTGATTAGACGACTGAGGAGAAGGAAAGTAGATGACGACAGGGAGAAGAATGGACCTCACGATCTGGTCGAGCATCCATAGCTTGTAAGTTTTGAGGTGTTGGGGCGTTGGCGAATCGGGCTTGATGTTCTCGCTGGAGACGATGATCCTCTCCATGGGAAAATTAAAACGGATCGATCCAAGTATGTACGAAGATTTTTAGAAACCCTTAATGTGTATGCATCGATCATATATTAATATTTATAGAGAATGAGAATGCGTGACATCCATGCTGTCTTGTTTTTATTTTCGTTTAATATTGCAATACAACTATAGACATATAACTTGTCAACTTATATTTTTTAGTTTTATCGAGATTACATCAACAAATATGTTTAACATAGGACCGCATTAATTTTTGCATCGGTCAACGAAATTTTTATCTATTGTCCATAACAAATATCCTTATAATTGAAGTATATTTATAAATATAGTTATTATATAATATAAATAATTATAAATTATAATTAAAATAATTTATTTATATAATTGAAATTAAAAAAAATTAATTATGAAATTTAAAATTTAATTAAAATGTATCATTATTTTTTTTAAATATTAAAAAGTAAAATACTCCCTCCGTCCCATATATCGTGTCCATATTGCGTTTCTGTCCGTCCCACATTCTATGTCATTTTTTTTTTTTAGAAAATGATTACACACTTTAATCTCATTTTAAACTTTTTAATTTATTTTTTTTAATTTTAATTAAACTAATTAATTACCTTAATCTTAATTTATAATTATTTATATTATAAAATAATTAATTTCACTAATATATTTTTAATTATATACTAATTAAATCCCTTCTAAAATACCGTATCTACAATGTAGCAGACACTGTACATAAGAGGCAGGAAGTAACATGAAATATACATAAATGGAAATAGTGCACAAATAAGGTGGAATGAATTGAGTATAATTTTTAATTATAATAAATAATTCTTACTTATTTTAGTTTATATTATTTAATGTTACCACTTATTTACAATAATATCACAATTACTTACGCTCTTTATAAATAAAAGATTTTCTATCACTTCATTAACTTATTCATAATTCTCAAAATATCCAACTTTTCACAATCAATTAAAATTATATAACATTCTCTTATTTTTAGTGAAAATGTACAAAATACTTTATTTATTAGGTGAAACTTTTTTGTGTTAATGCAAAATTTGTACGAAACACCCTCCTTATATAATGTATCTAAATTATAATACTATATTTATTAAGGATGTGTTTGACAATAAGTTGTTAGTTGTTAGTTGATTCGATTAACTGGTCTGATTAGCTGTTTATATTAAAGTGTTTGGTAAAATAGCAGTTTGATATTAGCTGTTTATACGTAAAATAACAATTAAGGATATTTTATATTTTATTTTCAAAATATTTAATTGAGTTTTTTCGGTTGGTAGACTTTTTTAGAATTTTATTATTAATTTTAAAAATTAGAAAAAAATTATTAAGATATTTATTTTTATTATTTTAAAATATTTTGTAAATTATTAATGCAAATTTATTGAAAAATATATATTTTTTATTAGAAATACTATAAATATAAAATAACATAAATCGTATTTATTAGTATATGTAATTTTATTAGATTAATTTTTAATTATTATATATTCTAAATAAATTTATAGTTTTAAATAAATACAATTCATGTTTAATAAAAATATTATGTGATAAAAAATACTATATAAATGAATCAATAATATTGATATTTTTATATTATCTTTATAAGAATGGTTTCATGGAACTCATCGGGAGATCCAATTAAGTTCAGATCGTCCATAGAAACAGTTATGGTTACAAATTTTGTACCATCTTCTTTATAAAAATACATGGGCAAACAGAATTATTAGTATATCCTTATTTCATCAATGATTTACTGAGACGATTGTATCACATGCAATTAAATTGTTTGAGCTCATACAAAGATTTGTGTATTTTAATAGAATAATATTCTTTTGTTTGATTTGTATGCATCAGACATACTAGATCCTTCAGGAATTTTCATGTAGATATCACTATTCTATGAGCCATATAAATACGCAGTTACGACGTCCATCAAATGCATATCCAAATTTTCATGAACTGTCTAACTAACAAGATATCGAAATGTTATTCCATCCATTACTGGAGAATATGTTCCATTAAAATAAATTGCAGGTCTTTGTGAAAAACTTTGGGCAAAAAGTCTTGTTTTATATCTTGCAATCTTATTATTCTCATTTCGTTTCCGAACAATACCCATTTATAATCAATAGGCTCAACACATTCAGGTGTTTGAGCAATGGATCCAAAAACTTTTCGTTTTTCCAGTGAATTTAATTCATACTGGATCGCATCTTTCCATTTTGGTCAATTTATTCTTTTCCAAAATTCATCTACTGATCTAAGTTTTGGATCATCGTCATTTTCCATTAGATTAAGTGCTACATTATATGCAAAAATATTATCCGTAATCGTATCATTTCAGTTTCAATGATTTTCGGTAGTGGCATAATTTATTGAATTTTCAATCATTTCATTCTTTCCAAGAGAAATTCTATCATGATTAACATTTGATTAATTCTATCAATCTCTTCAGAAATTTGATCCATATTACTACCTATTTCTTTAAGATTTGATTAATATTTATATCTTTAATCCTTTCATTTGTTTCTTTTTCTTTCGAGGATTTTTATCTTTGGAACCTAGAGGTCTGCCACGCTTCAAATGTGCATCTAATTCATTAGCACTTTGCATTTTTTCTCCGGGGACAACAATTTTAATATGTGCATTTTCTGCAGCTATATATGATCTAGTGACTCTACTTGCATCAGATAGCTGGGTTGCAGTTTGCTGCAAATACACAGTTCTTTGCACTTCTATTTCACTTTGAATTGTATGAGGATCAAGGAAACTCAATGGTATTTTCTAAGTAATTTCTCTTTTTCAGTTAATCAGTTTCTCTCCATAATGTCGGAAAATGCGACTCGTCAAAATGACAGTCAACAAATCTAACAGTAAATAAATCACGAGTTAATGGTTCAACATATTTCATAATAGATGGTGATTGATACCCGACATATATCTCCAATCTCCGTTGGGGGCCCTTTTTTGTATGTTGGGGCAATGCAATTGGCACATAACTGCGCACCCAAAAATTTGTAAATGTGAAATATTGAGATTTTCATTGTAAACGAATTGTACTGGGGAGTAGCTATGATAGCTTGTTGGTCTTAATCTTATTAGTATTGCTTCATGCATAAATGCATGCCCCCAAGCAGATACGGAAAGTTTAGACTTCATTAACATGTCTTGCAATTAATTGCAACCTTTTTATAAGTGATTCAACTAGACCATTTTGAGTATGTACATAAGGTACAAGATGTTCAATATCAATTCCAATAGACATTCAAAAATCATCAAATGTCTTAGATAAAAATTCACCAGCATTATCAAGACGAATTTCTTTATTGGGTGATCAGGAAATTGTGCTCGTAATTTAATTATTTGAGCAAGTAACCTCGCAAATGCCAAATTGCGGGTGGATAATAAACAATAATGTGACCATCTAGTAGATGCATCGATAATTACCAAAAAATATGTGAATTGTCAGCATAGTGGATCTACTGGCCCACATATATCACCGTGACTTTGTTCTAAAAATGCAGGGAATTCAATTCCCACTTTTTCTGGTGATGGTCTAGATATCAACTTTCCTTGTGTGCAAGCAACACATTTTATCTTATTTGTATTAATATAATCTTATTTTTCAAATTGTGGCCATGAGTATTTTCAATAATTCGTCTCATCATAATACTATCGGGATGCTCGAATTGCTTATGCCAAATCATAGAATTTGTAGACTTTTGGTCTGCCAGATATGTTTCAATACATTAATATTTGTGTAATATAATCCAGTTGACAATGAAAACAATTTTCTTAATATATAATTGTGTCCATCAATGAATTTTGTAATCAACAAAAATTCATTATTTGCCTCATTTGATATTTGAATATGATATCCATTTTTGCGAATATCATTAAAACTCAGAAAATTTCTTTGTAATTTTCTAGAATATAGTGTATTTTCAATATAAAGTTTTACTCCTAGGGAAGAAATATTATTGCTTTTCCGTCCTCAATTAAATTCGCACAACCACCTATAGTATTTACCTCAATTTTTCCCAACTTCAAATTGGTGAAATATTTCTTATATTTTAAGATAGTATAGGTTTATGCACTATCAATGAGACATAAATTGTCTTCCGTATATTATAACATGTTCAACATTCATATTTCTTATTTTGGAAGAAAATATAAGAAATATATTAGTAAATTTGAAGGATATACATAGTTGTCATATTATTACAAAATATGAAAAACAAAAAGTATAAGGATTACACAAATATATAAACCTATCTATATGTACTATTACATTGCACATACCAGATTTTCATAGTATCCACCTTTAGGGTGTACCATAAATTTAGATACATCTAACAGTGTCTTATTAGTATATTTATCACTACCAGTACAACCGGAAATATTTTTCAAAAAATTTATTTTCGGGGCATTGGAAATTTCCGGGGCTTTAGCATCTTCAGGTGCTTTATTTTTCTACTTCAGAGAGTTCTGGTACAACTCTACAAAATAAGAGTTTGAGCGACAAGTTTTGGACCAATGTCCTGTTATCCCACAACGATAACATTTATCATCGATTTTCTTTGAACTTTGACCAGCATCATCCTGAGGCCGCTTTAAAGGTTTGTTTAGTTCATGTTCATCAAAATGTCCTTCACATTAATTATGCGAAACAAACCTGCCACAATCACACCCACAGTCGGCTCCATGTCCACGGTAAAATCTACGTCCACAGCCTTTTCTACGACCTCATCCGCAGTTATATTTGGGAATATTGTTCAAATACTTAGTCGCATTCACTTTAATGAATGGACTTGCACGAGTTGGCCTTGATTTGTGATTTTTTAATAATAATTCGTTATTCTGCTCAGCAACAAGAAGACAAGTAATAAGATCACAATATTTAGTAAAACCTCTTTCTCGATATTGTTGTTGCAACACTATATTAGAGGCATGAAACGTGGTGAACATTTTTTCCA